TTCCTGTCAAGACTATAGACTAGACTACAGACCAGATTGTAGACTAATTATAGTCCAAACTACAGAATAGATCCCAGTCAAGACTATACTCTAAACAAAAGTCCAGGCTATAGAATATAGTCTAGCCGAGATCATAGACTAGACTATAGTTTAGACTATAGACTAGAATATTGCTCAGATTAAAGGTCATAGTCCCAGACTATAGAATAGTCTATATTCTAGACAATAGTATAGACTATATGCTAGACTATAGTCCAGATTGTAGACTAATCTATAGTCCACTCTATAGACTAACCTATAGTACAGATGCTAGACTATAGTCCAGATTGTAGACTAATCTATAGTCCACTCTATAGACTAATCTATAGTACAGACTGTGGACTAGACTATAGTCCAGACTAGAGACACGAATATAGTTCAGACTTTAGAACTCAACTATAGTCCAAACTATAGTCCAGACTATAGACTAGACTACAGACAAGATTATAGACTAGACTACAAAACAAACTATAGACTAGACTATGGACCAGACTATAGACTAGACTATAGTCCAAACTATAGATTAGATTCCTGTCCAGACTAAAGACCAGACTGTAGACTAGATTATAGTCCAAACTATAGATCCAGTCAAAACTATAAACTATACTACAGTCCAGGCCATAGACTATAGTCCAGACTATATAGTCTAGACTCTAGACTAGACTATAGGGCAGACTATAGACTAGACTATGGTCCAGCCTATAGACTAGACTATAGTCCGGACTAAAGACTAGACTATAGTCCAGATTATAGACTAGACTATAGTCCAGACTACAGACTAGACTATAGTCCGGACTATAGACTAGACTATCGTCTAGTCTATATTCTAGACAATAGTATAGACTTTAGTCCAGACTATAGACTAATCTATAGTCCAGACTATAGACTAACCTTTAGTCCAGACTATAGACTAACCTATAGTCCACCTATAGTACAGACTATAGACTAGACTATAGTCCAGACTATAGACACGAATATAGTTCAGACTATAGATTAAACTATAGACAAACTATAGGCTAGACTATAGTCCAGATTATAGTCCATACTATTACTACACTATATATCCACTTCTCTAGTGCCCAAACTTTTCCTACCACCTCCCACTATTTCTCTCATGTAGTTGATTAAAAATTCCATAAATTTCATGACAACCATTCTATTATTTACAATCTTAAAATTAATAGCTTAACTGTCCACTTGAAAACGAAATGAATTGCAAATAACTGAACATGTTAACATTTAGTTAACAAAACTCCGCCAGCTGCCAACACTCGTTAGTCGTTTAGCATTGTTAAAACATTACAGCTGCAACATGATTTTAAATACACCACGGCCTTGCTGTTACTCACCTCATCGGCCAGTTTAGTGAGCAATGAAACGCAACCATATCCTCAAATGGTTAATAACTCACTAGTCATAAAAGTGGTGAGCGGTATACATGAGCTGTATCAGTTTAAAAATTTCGTTTTCTTTATATCGGAACGTTTGGCTCGAGATACGGATACGGCTACTATTTTCTTTGAGGATTTTTGGGATGCTTTTCCCACGGCTCCTACGATATTGATTATTAATGATCCGAGTAAAATGGCTGGTTTTCTGAGTACTCCTACGCTGTGTTTGATCTTGACCACGGAGGGAGAGGATCCTATAATGGAATTGGCCGCTTTAAGTATGAAGGGTGCTAGATATTTTAAGACTATTTTCATACTATTCCCCATCGTGGAAACGGATGAGTTTTATAATACCTTCGAGCAGTATACGATATTTTACGACAGCATACGTTTGTTATACGATTGGGTGTGGAAAAAACAGTTCCTAAATACTGTACTCATTACTATAAGGAATAATATCTATATGTATGATCCTTATCCGGTGGGGAATATTGTTAATAAGACTGATGATTGGTCAGCTACTGATTTCTTTGTTGATTTTTCCGGAGATTTGAAGGCTATGAATTGCAGACTATGGTACGCCACGACTTACCCCCGAGTATTTCGCATGTCTCGCTTTCCTCGCAAACACCAGCAGGATGAAATTAGCGGTACGTCGGGTAAACTGTTTATAGCCTTTGTGGAAGCGATTAATGCCACCTTCAATGACACCGTCAAGGATAAATCCGATGAGGAGCCACTGGATATTAATGCCATTATCCATATGGTAGAGGAAAAAGATTTAGAAATCGGCGTCAATTCCTATACCGCCATGATAGCTTCTCTAGTGGGGGCCAGTTATCCTATAGGCATTAATGACTGGTGTATTATGGTGCCCTATCAGAATCGTTCACCCGAACATGAGTATGTGAAGCGAGGTTTTCATGCCTACAGTTGGTATTTGATATTCTTTAGCGTTTTTTATATAGGCGTGGGCATTTGGATATGCACACCCTCCTGGGAGAGGGATCTTTCCTTAGCATTTCTTCAGTCTATTTGCTCCATTTGCTATATAGTTCCTCTAAGGCTTCTAACGCTACCCTACATACGTCTACGCTTTTTATTTATTTTACTTTTCATTGTGGGTTTCTTTTCCACCAATCTCTACATGTCCAAGATGACCAGTTATTTAACCACTGCCACCGCTCAACAACAAATCGACACTGTAGACGATGTCATACGCGCCAATTTGCCACTCATGATGATGGACTATGAGTATGAGAAAATGAAGGAAATGAATTATTCTCAAAAGTTTTTGGACCTAATAGTGGTGAGTTCGAAGGGTGAATTGGATAAACATCGTGATCGTTTCAATAGTTCCTTTGGCTATAGCATACAATCGGATCGTTGGTCGTTCCTTAACAAACAGCAGCTATACTTAAAGAAACCTCTCTTTCGCCTTTCATCCATTGCATTGGTCCCTACTATCATGTCTTTCCCATACAACGTGACTCGCATTTAGCCAAACCTTTGCAGAATTTCATTATGTCCGCCTCTCAATTTGGCTTTAACCACCCACTGGCGTTCGCAGGCCTTTGCTGATGCCTTATTTATAGGCTACGTTCATATGATATTGATCGATTTGAATCCGCTGCCTTTGAATTTGGCATTTTTTCGTTTAATTTGGATTATCTGGTGGTTGGGTTTGATGTTGGCTGGTTTCGCTTTCATACTTGAAATGAAAGTGGTGGTTATTAAAGAGTCGCTGAGGAAAGGATTTTTTTGGATTAAACGAAAGATATGTGAATTGTAAGTAAGTGTTCGATTTTGAAGAATAAAGATATTAAATGTTTGATTTAAGAAACGTGTTCTTTATTTCAAATGGTTTTAGGTTTTTGTTTTAAAAAATGATGAATCATGACACATAAATGGGAGAATTAAACTCTTACATAAGTTAGTCCTCCATGAAACTGTAAACCTTTAAAATAATAAATTAAAATCCAAAATTGAAATCCAAAAATCATGATTTTTCACTAAAACAGACTTTGATAGTAGATCACATCGTTAGGAACGATATTGGATATAGTTTGATAAAATGGATTTTGGAACCTATCTATCTTATCTCTCCTATCTATCCTATCTATCCTATCTGTCCTATCTATCCTATCTATCCTATCTATCCTATCTATCCTATCTATCCTATCTATCTTATCTAACTTATCTATCCTATCTATCCTATCTATCCTATCTATCCTATCTATCCTATCTATCCTATCTATCCTATCTATCCTATCTATCCTATCTATCCTATCTATCCTATCTATCCTATCTATCCTATCTATCCTATCTATCCTATCTATCCTATCTATCCTATCTATCCTATCTATCCTATCTATCCTATCTATCCTATCTATCCTATCTATCCTATCTATCCTATCTATCCTATCTATCCTATCTATCCTATCTATCCTATCTATCCTATCTATCCTATCTATCCTATCTATCCTATCTATCCTATCTATCCTATCTATCCTATCTATCCTATCTATCCTATCTATCCTATCTATCTATCTATCTATCTATCTATCTATCATCTATCTATCTATCTATCTATCTATCTATCTATCTATCTATCTATCTATCTATCTATCTATCTATCTATCTATCTATCTATCTATCTATCTATCTATCTATCTATCTATCTATCTATCTATCTATCTATCTATCTATCTACTATCTATCTATCTATCTATCTATCTATCTATCTATCTATCTATCTATCTATCTATCTATCTATCTATCTATCTATCTATCTATCTATCTATCTATCTATCTATCTATCTATCTATCTATCTATCTATCTATCTATCTATCTATCTATCTATCTATCTATCTATCTATCTATCTATCTATCTATCTATCTATCTATCTATCTATCTATCTATCTATCTATCTATCTATCTATCTATCTATCTATCTATCTATCTATCTATCTATCTATCTATCTATCTATCTATCTATCTATCTATCTATCTATCTATCTATCTATCTATCTATCTATCTATCTATCTATCTATCTATCTATCATCTATCTATCTATCTATCTATCTATCTATCTATCTATCTATCTATCTATCTATCTATCTATCTATCTATCTATCTATCTATCTATCTATCTATCTATCTATCTATCTATCTATCTATCTATCTATCTATCTAATCTATCTATCTATCTATCTATCTAGCTAGCGATCTATCTATCTATCTATCTATCTATCTATCTACTATCTATCTATCTAATCTATCTATCTATCTATCTATCTAACTATCTATCTATCTATCTAGCTATCTATCTATCTATCTATCTATCTATCCTATCTATCTATCTATCTATCTATCTATCTATCTATCTATCTATCTATCTATCTATCTAGCGAGGTGTCCACATCTGAACTGCAGGTATTTGCTAATGAAATGGTAAAAATTCTGCAAGTTGGTTTCCGAGATCCCAACTCCTCAAGTACATACGATAGTTCAGCTTATTTTCCCCGTCCTAAAACAAAACAACCAATTTGTTCATATTCGATCACTTTATTTCCAAAACAATAACTTAAAAACTAAGATTACCACACCTTTCTGTAATCTATAATGAAGACACTCACCCAAAAATATTAAAACACAAACAGCACTCACCACCAACAGCATTAGAAAAACCATTGATACATGACTCAAGCCGGCGGCCTGATAATCATTACCACCGGTAAAGCGTTGCACATACCCAGCATAGACAGCATGTTCAAACGAAATACTCTCATAATAGTGTAACATGCCCGAAGAATGCACCCTATAGATAAAGTATTCCAAATTACGCCACAAAGGTGAATCCGTTTCCATGGGAAAAGCCAAATGAAAAGAACCAAAACAGATATCGGTGAGCTTAAAAAGACCCTGTTTAAGAGTGGTTTGTTGAAGCTGCAGGAAATGCCATTTTTCATCGGTAACAAAATAGGCATAAGTTTGATTTAAAACGCGATTGATGATGATAAAACGTGGCCGAGTCGACGGGTGTTATGAGTTTAAGAAAATCATAGGGTAAGTTCAATTGACCCCTAGCAAAAAATCATATTCGTAGTCTATTATTAAGGTAGAGATGTTGGCTTTGATAAGATCCTCCAAGGTATTAATTTCATCGCGAAAGAGGGTAACTGCTAAAATACTACCCAGCAGGGAGGTATAGCCCGTAGATAAAAAGAAAGCCTGGAAAAATACAGTGCTATAAAGGAAAAACCTTACCCAGGTGGGGCGTTTTATATTCTTAGAAGCGGATATATTAAGCATATAACAAAGATTATCTAAAATACTGCAACGCAAATGCCACATTAGGTGAGAACGCTTGGAAGGATCCTTTTGACTCTCCCATATAATCCACAAGCAATCGGTGGTGGCCAATGCAAAGAAGGTAAATATCAATATAAACCAGACATAAGCGGCAAAAGGTTTAATGGGATAATAAAACGTGGAAATGGTATTCTTAAGTGGGACCATTAAACACCAGCGTACCGCCATTAAGGGATAACTTTTATCTATGGTATCATCAGTTTCGAAGAGAGCATAGGCATGGGCCGTTATTAAAATGCTTTTATTCCTTATCAATTGCAATGTATCCTTCATATTTACCACTATGCCTCCTAAGTGATCAGCGGGCATTGGATAGGGCTCTATGGAGGCATTTATATAGCTTATGAATAAATTTAAAATGCGATAAGCTATACCCTGCTTCTCTATTATGTTCTGCTTGTTGTAATAGCGAAAAACTCCGGGCAAATCCAAACGTAAAGGAGTATAAAACTTAAAGCCTTGACAATCCATTCCACCAGCTAATACTTTACCCATTGTCTTTCTTAAATCCCTTAAGAAATAAGTACGCAATTCAATTTTAAATTCGGGATAAGAATTAATGCCCAACAAATCGGAAGAACCATTCAAGTAACCCACATAGAGAAAGGAATTTTGAAAATTATTTCTATGCAATTTACGCAAAATTCTCTCGGCTATCGTAAAATCTTCCAAAGGCTTAACCAATATAACAAAATTCATATAATAGTGGCGTCCCAAAAGTACACGATCATGCAGCCACATTATGGGATCCGAGGGACCCGTAGTCAATACTATGCCCATATAATTGCGTTTGCTGGTAGTTTTTATTATCCTGATATCACTATTATTGGTGAAAACCATTTGTGTTATGGGCGTATGACGATGTATGGTATTGAAAAATTGATCCAAATGTTCACTGCTTTCGCTGTCCAAACGTTGTGATATAAACCAATTGATTTCTTGCGTTTGCATGATGGTACTCAAAGGTAATATATTGTTTAGTAGAAATTTCATATCCCACAACAACACCGTACGCCAGAAGGCCAATATTAGCAGTAGCAAGAGTGTTACTTTTCCGATGTTCATGTTAATAAAGTTTTCCAAAAACTAATTCCACTAATGTTATTTTAAGTTTAAGGAATACCTTTTAACAAGCAAAAGAAATTATTTTTAAAACTCCTGTTAACAACTCCGGTTAGGTCATGTAAACATGCCCTCAAGGAATTGCATGTTTTAAGTGGTATGTTATTGTTATTGAGGGGTTTTGACAAATGTCGGCGAACTGTCTGAACTGTATTGCAGGCAGAAGAAAAACAAAATGTTTATGTGTAACAAATTGATTACATATTTAGTAAACTTAAAGATTTTAATCGTTATTGCGGCTATTTTTATTATTATTCGAATAATCTATATTGAAGTCAAATACTTGGAACTGGCCATAGTCATAACACTAGACTATACGCTGGACTATATTGCAGATTATTGACTAGGCTATAGTCCAGAATTTAGTATACTCCAAGTCCTGACTATAGCCAAGTCTATTAACTAGACAAAAGTCCAAACTATAGACCAGACTATAATCCAAACAGTGGACTAAACTATAGTCCACACTGGTCAAAACTCTAGTCAAGTCTGTAATCCAGACTTAAGACTATAATCAAGTCGAGACTATAGACCAGACTATAAGCTAGGCTATTATCTACACTATAGACTTGACTGTAGTTGACTTGACTAAAGAATAACTATAGTACAGACTGTAGATTGTATTACTGTCCAGACTACAAAGTAGACTATAATCCGGACTAACAATTGCACTAACTACAGTTAATTAAGTTAGTTAGTTAGTTAGTTAGTTAGTTAGTTAGTTAGTTAGTTAGTTAGTTAGTTAGTAGTTAGTTAGTTAGTTAGTTAGTTAGTTAGTTAGTTAGTTAGTTAGTTAGTTAGTTAGTTAGTTAGTTAGTTTTAGTTTTAGTTAGTTAGTTAGTTAGTTAGTTAGTTAGTAGTTTAGTTAGTTAGTTCGTTTTAGTTCGTTAGTTAGTTATTCGTTCGTTTCGTTAGTTTCGTTCGTTCGTTCGTAGTTCTTCGTTTCGTTCGTTAGTTCGTTCGTTGTCGTTCGTTAGTTCGTTCGTTGTTCGTTCTTTCGTTAGTTTCGTTCGTTCGTTCGTTTCGTTCGTTCGTTGTTAGTTCGTTCGTTCGTTTTTCGTTCGTTCGTTAGTTCGTAGTTCGTTCGTTCGTTCGTTCGTTCGTTCGTTCGTTTCGTTAGTTAGTCGTTCGTTTCGTTCGTTCGTTCGTTTAGTTAGTTAGTCGTTCTTAGTTAGTTCGTTAGTTTTTTGTTTTTTTAGTTCGTTAGTTCGTTCGTTCGTTTTCGTTCGTTATTTCGTTTAGTTCGTTCGTTTTAGTTAGTTAGTTAGTTAGTTAGTTAGTTAGTTACTTAGTTACTTAGTTACTTAGTTAGTTAGTTAGTTAGTTAGTTAGTTAGTTAGTTAGTTAGTTTAGTTAGTTAGTTTAGTTAGTTAGTAGTTAGTTTAGTTAGTTAGTTAGTTGTTAGTTAGTTAGTTAGTTAGTTAGTTAGTTAGTTTAGTTAGTTAGTTAGTTAGTTTTAGTTAGTTTTAGTTCGTTAGTTAGTTAGTTAGTTAGTTTAGTTAGTTAGTTAGTTAGTTACTTAGTTACTTAGTTACTTAGTTAGTTAGTTAGTTAGTTAGTCGTTAGTTAGTTAGTTAGTTAGTTTAGTTAGGTTAGTTAGTTAGTTAGTTAGTTAGTTAGTTAGGTAGTTAGTTAGTTTTAGTTAGTTAGTTAGTTAGTTGTTAGTAGTAGTTAGTTAGTTAGTTCGTTTAGTTAGTTAGTTAGTTAGTTAGTTAGTTAGTTAGTAGTTAGTTAGTTAGTTAGTTTTAGTTAGTTAGTTAGTTTTTTTTAGTTAGTTAGTTAGTAGTTAGTTAGTTGTTAGTTAGTTAGTTAGTTTTAGTTAGTTTAGTTAGTTAGTTAGTTAGTTAGTAGTTAGTTTGTTAGTTTAGTTTAGTTAGTTAGTTATTTTAGTTTATTTAGTTCGTTATTTAGTTAGTTAGTTAGTTTTTTCGTTTCGTTCGTTCGTTTCGTTCGTTCGTTCGTTCGTTTCGTCGTTCGTTCGTTCGTTCGTTCGTTTCGTTCGTTCGTTCGTTCGTTTTTTCTTTCGTTCGTTCGTTCGTTCGTCGTTCGTTTCGTTCGTTCGTTCGTTCGTTCGTTCGTTCGTTTCGTTTCGTTCGTTCGTTCGTTCGTTTCGTCGTTCGTCGTTCGTTCTTCGTTCGTTCGTTCGTTTCGTTCGTTCGTTCGTTCGTTTCGTTCGTTCGTTCGTTCGTTTCGTTCTTCGTTCGTTCGTTCTTCGTTCGTTTCGTTCGTTCGTTCGTTCGTTCGTTCGTTTTTCGTTCTTTCGTTCGTTTCGTTTCGTTCGTTAGTTCGTTAGTTTTTCGTTCGTTCGTTAGTTCGTTCGTTCGTTCGTTCGTTAGTTCGTTCGTTCGTTCGTTCTGTTCGTTGTTCGTTTTAGTTCGTTCGTTCGTTCGTTCGTTCGTTGTCGTTCGTTCGTTCGTTCGTTAGTTCGTTCGTTTTCGTTCGTTCGTTGTTCAGTTCGTTCGTTCGTTCGTTCGTTCGTTGTCTTTCGTGTAGTTCGTTCGTTTCGTTCGTTGTTCGTTCGTTCGTTCGTTCGTTTTCGTTCGTTCGTTCTTTAGTTCGTTCGTTTCGTTTCGTTCGTTCGTTCGTTCGTTCGTTCGTTCGTTCGTTCGTCGTTGTCGTTCGCGTTCGTTCGTTTCTTTCGTTTCGTTCGTTCTTTTCGTTCGTCGTTCGTTCGTTTCGTCGTTCGTTCGTTTCGTTCGTTTTCGTTCGTTCGTTCGTTCGTTGTTCGTTCGTCGTTTCGTTCGTTTCGTTCGTTCGTCTTTCGTTCGTTCGTTCGTTCGTTCGTTCGTTCGTTCGTTCGTTGTTCGTTCGTTCGTTCGTTTCTTCGTTCGTTTTCTTCGTTCGTTCGTTTCTTCGTTCGTTCGTTCGTTTCGTTTTCGTTTTTTCGTTCGTTCGTTCGTTCGTTCGTTCGTTCGTTCGTTCCCTCCCTCCCCCTTCCTCTCCCTTTTTCCTTCCTTCTTTTCCCGTTCCCCCCTTTTGCCCCGTTTTTTCTTCTCTTTTTTCTTTTCGTTTCTCCTCCCTTCCTTCCCTCCCGCCCCCCCCCCCCCCCCCCTCCCTTTGCCCCTCTCTCTCCCCCCTCCCTCCCCTGTTCCCCCCTGCAAATGTATAGGATTTCGATTCCTCCAAACGCTTCAGAAGACCCCCTTAAAAGCATTTTGTAAAGCTTTATTCTCGAACATCTGAAACAAACCCGAAGCATGTAAATGAAATAGAAAATATTCCAAATCACGCCATATAGAGAATCCGTTTGCATGGGATAAGCCAAATGATAGGAGCCGAAACAAATATCACTAAATTTAAAAGGTTTCTGCTTTAAATGTTTCTGACATTCGTGTAAAAAGCGCCATCTATCGTCGGTAGTAAAATAGGCATAAGAAGTATTCAAAGAGATTTGATGTTTATAAAATGTCGAGGAGTTTACGGGCTTTAAAAGTTTTATAAATTCGGCAGAGGCGTGATAGCCTTCTAGAATGAGGAATTCTAGTTCGTAATCAATTCATCACGGAAAGATTGGAGGCTATTAAATCGTCTAGATTATTAATTTGGGCACGAAATAGAGAAACGGTTAAGACACTACCCAGATAAGAGTGTAAAAAGCACAAAAAAAAATCCAAAGGAAAATATTGAGACATAATAAAGATAGCTCGACAGATGACTGATGGCAATTGAGCGGGTAGGAGAAATGTTTAAAATATGACAAAAATTATTAAGCCAAATGGCGTTTCTTCTCACTTAAACTTTTTGCAGATAAAATCCTTTACATAAAGCCATTAATGATATAACAATCAGATACCATACTTTTCCTTCGAAAGGCTGCAGGGTATAGAAAAAGTAGAAATCTTGTTTCTTAATGGTACCATTAGACACCACTTTACCACCATTAAAGGATAACTTTTATCCAAATCATCATCGGGTTGAAAAGCGAATAGGCATGAGCGGTTAAATCTATACGTTTGTGACGTATCAATTGCAAAACCTCATGCATGTTAATGATATTTAATAAATTTGTATTATTATCTCCAATATGATCGTACCTCTCCAGGGAACCATTTATGCTGCGTATAAATGTCTTTAATATAGAATAACTAGTTCCCTGAAAGACGTCCTTACCAATTTGATCCCTAAATGTAAAGACATTTGGTATATCTTGCTTAAGGGGTGTAAAGAATTTATAACCTTGGACATCTTGGGAAGCAGAACCAATCCTTTGCTTCATTTCTCGATAAAATTCTTTATAGTCGGTACTATTAATCATTTTAAATTTTGGAAACATTTCTATACTATATACTTGTTTCAAACCCTCAATAGTTTGAAAATAAACCACACTGTTAACAAAATTTCCTTGATATAATGAATAACATAAGTCTCTTATAGGTTTTAGATTCACAACTTTCCCGGTATATACCACAAATGTTGCACTATAATGACGTCCAATTAAATGGCGATGATGTACCAGCATTATGGGATCCTCAAGTCCAGTCGTTACCAATACACCCTATAACCCCTTTTCGATTGTATTTTAATCATTCTCACATCTCTCAATTGGGTCCAAACAAATTGCGTTAGTTGTGTCATGTTTCCGATGCCTTTGATCAAATTTTACTCTCTCATCTTGTTCACCATCCAGTTGTTTACTGATAAACCATACCAAATCCTGCATGACATGTAGATATGGAAATGCAGCTATATATCATAAAGGAATGCGTCTTCCTGTGGCCAGGCTGTTGAAGGCTGTAGGCTAAGTGCAGTTATTACAACTATGAAGAAGGTTTTATAATGCATGACTTCTGGATTGTAACTAATTATTTGTTTTACAATTTTACAGATTTAATTTGTAAAAGTTATAATTGCAAAAATTTGCTAAATAGGTGGGTGGTTCGGAAAGTGAACTTTATTAAAGCATGCAAAGTAATTAACTAACTAACTAACACTAACTAACTAAC